TTTGGAATCCACTGAAATCAATGTGTACTAATGATTATCTCATGTGGTCATTCCTGTGAGTTTAAGAAGGCCAAAAATTCTCAACATAATAGGTTTCAGAAGTAAGAATCCACTCTGGCATTCACTGCCTCTGCCTCTTCTGGAACTGGGATTTTATCCCTCCTCGCATTCTGCGTCTTTGTTTTCAAATTCCGTCCATAGCCCAACACAGTCAGGTCTGCTGCTTTCAGATGAAACTGAAGCTGAGGCTGGGAATTTGGCAGAGTCCATTGCGTGGAAGAGGCAGGAGTAGGAAGACGAGCCAAAATCCCAAGACTCTCTCTCCCGATTTTTTTTCTTTTTTTTTCTCTCTGTCTTATTTTGTTTTTGTTTAAATAATTGAACAATTTGCCAATATTAATTTGGCTGCTGGTTTTTGAAATTTCTTTGCATGGCGCCGAAGGAAGATTCCTGTGAGATAATCTGATTGGCTTCACAAGCTTTAAGTACCGGAGAGGAACGTACAACTTATTTGGGCCTCAGAAAAAGCTTTCATCTCATGTTGTTTTTGATACGATAGAATTTCTGCTGCTAGCATGGCTGTTCTATGGATTGTGCCTGGGGCTAAAGGTTAGAGCTAAGGGTAAAATGAGGTAAAGTAGGTTCAGGTAAATGTTTTTACTTGGGGACTATTGAAGTTGGAGGGAGTATTGTATGTGTAACAGTATATAACAGCCATGGTATCTTTTAAGAACCCAAAAGTAAGGGGCTGTAAAAAATCACGGACCATCTCTGGCTCCATTCACAGCTGTGCGGTCCTGGAATGCATGAAAAACGCACATTGTGCTTGTGGTGCCTTTAATTGTTAATGACATCCCAAACGTGAGAAGCAAACATATTTAAACCAAAACATGGCAAAATGCTGTGGCTGCTTTGAAATCAATGTGCTGCCCTATGTGTGTTGCACAAAAAACATGCCTAAGTGTGCAAAAATCTGCGCTCCCACTATGCTAGGTGAGGTGTGAATGGGGCCTCTACTGATAACAAAGCTCAAATCGTTGTAATTCTTGAAAAATAACAAAAAAATAGTGGACAAAAAATGCGATCTTTTGCCTCTGATAGTCATACAAATGTCTAAGACAGGGGTGCTGAACCTGTGGCTTGTGAGCCACATGTTGCCCTCGGAACCCTCTGATGTGGCCCTTGACCTTAAACCAATTACCTGTTATATCCTGAGTATTGGTGTGCTTTCTGAAAGCACACCAAAACTTCTGAATGCAGCAGTTTTGGTGCACTTTCAGAAAGTGCACCCTACCTGCAAGATATAATAGAAGTCTATGGCAAAGCGCAGAAAAGACACAGGTGCACTGCGCTGCACCCGTGGTGCAGATAAATTACAGCGCATGAGTGTGAAAGCAGCCTTATAAGGGTCTCAGGAGAGTAAGGGCTTGTCTACATTTGCGGTTTGGGGGGGTGGTAAATCCCCATAATTGAGATGTGTTTTACCACACACCCTCAATCACTGGTGTAGTGTCAGGGGTCACAATGGCAATCCCGCCCCATGTTCCAGGGGGGGCTGTGCAGCCTCCCTGTCACATTCTGTTTTACACTTGGACAGGAGGGGTTGGGGCAGTATATACAGGAAATTATGCTCTCCATTTTCCTGCTTCTCCTCCTCTCACCCGCATACAACGGAAATAAAAAAAAGTCGGAATTCCAAACCATTTCCTTTTATTGTGGCCCTCGACCGGTTACCAGATCACTTAAGTGGCCCTCACGCTTCAAAAGGTTGAGCACCCTGGTCCAAGAGTTGTGGCTTCTCCTCCATAGCATGTAATAGCTGTTGATATAGGAAGCAGGCACAATGTACTTCCCGTTGATTGAAAAGTAAATGGTTAGTTATAGGAGGGAATTTCGGCAGGCTGTCATTACCTCTATTGTGTTTTCCCCTTGCCGTGATATGCCATTGAGCTGCCTGAGAAATACCTTCTTTCTCTGGGCATGGAAATCATGGCCAATATGAATGGACCCTTAAGGTTGTGGGCCTCCATAAGATCTTAAAGGAGGGACACAAACAACAAATTACTGTTCGTGTCATGTTTTGAAGATTCATATCTAATTGAAGAGAAGTAGCATATCAGCAGAGTTCATCACATTAAAAACCTAAAGGGTAATTCCACTTTCATGGGGAAAAAATAGCAAATTAAAAAAAAAAATCTTGCATATACAAATGCTACGCAAGCCGTATTCTAATTAAATGTTATTTAAAATTAACTTTCATTTAAAATCTGCAGCACTGTCATTCTCTGTAAAATTCGATGTGATTTTGCAACCTGGAGGTCTTCTGTGCACAGCTGTTATACAGAACATTCCCAGAAATGTAAGTTCCTGCTTGTGTGATTGGCTCCTTGATTTTCCCATAATGGCACCAAAATAGTCAGATATTAGACCTCTTTTGCAACAAATATGTAATTTATGTTGAGATTCCCCAAAGGGTTAATTACTTCTAAAGGGATGCAGACACTGCAACTTTGCTAATTAGAACACTGCAAGTGCATCAGCGGATTGATAATGAAAAAGGCACTTCATTCTCTTTGCAAATTGTGTTCAGGCAGCTGCTGACACCCACGGCTGCCTGAATACCTACCCAGTGACTGTATTTAATTGGGTTCAGGCACTCTTTGGCCAACAGTTTGCCATCCTTCAATCTTTCAATGGAAGTTTGGAATCGGCTGAAATTTGAGCCGTGTTTGGCCAGCTTATTAACAGCTTATATTTAGTGATTTAAAGCACTCTACCATAAGAAACTTAGAAACACATTTGTTTATGTCATAGGTTTTCCTTTTCACCATCATATTAATGGAACGCAAGCACAATGTTTGGTCTCATGGCCCTAGCACTGCATTTTGGGAGGACAGGGGAGTGTGCATGTGTGTCCCAAACTTCATCCTTGGATTTTCAGCAAGGCACAGGATGCAATTAGATCTGCTCATGTATGCAGAGAATTACTATACTAACCACAGCATACAAAGCCATCCACAACACTGTCCCTACCTACATCCAGGGATGGACTGACAACTCATGTGGCCACCGGGCAATAGGGGATCATGGGGCCCGTGTCCTTGCCCAAACTCAAAAAAGCCTATGAAAAAGGTACCAGGGGCATCTCATGGGGTCCCCTACTGACCCTGGGCCCTCGGGCAGTGCCCAAGTTTCCAAATGGTTAGTCTACCCCTGCCTACATCACCATCCTCATCTGCAGATATCGTCTAATTCGCCCGCTGTGCTCCTCCCAAGGCATCTGACTCTGTAGCTCCCTCATCACCTCTTCCCACGCTCTCCTCCAAAACTTCTCCAGAGCCTCTCCCATCCTCTGAAACTCCATACTGCAGTATGTCCAGTCAGCCCCCACCCTGTCTGCCTTTAGGTGATCTTTGAAAACTCACTTATTCAGGGAAGCCTACACCACCTCCACCTAAGAACTGTACTTGACCCACCACCATCAGAACATCACCTACGCCCATCACCTTTCGTACCACACCCCCCCCCCATCCCTTTCTTTAGATTGTAAGCTCCGCAAGCAGGGCCCTCCTATTCCTTCTGTACTGAAATGTATTGTAATTGTACTGTCTCCTTTATATTGTAAAGCGCTGCGCAAACTGTTGGCGCTATATAAATCCTGTATTATAATAATACTGTATAGACACTGAAGGGTGCCAATTGTATAAGCTTTTTTCAGTATTTGGGGGGTGTTTTCTTCCAAGGATAGCGTGGTGGACAGCCTTTCTGGGAAATCACCAGTTGCCTACATTCTCTGTTTCTCTCAGTAGAGGTTTCTTTAAACAAGTGTCAGAATTGGTGGCCATGTGCTGGGGGCTGGATTTTGTAGGTTTAATTGTACAGATTTCTTGGCTTTCCTTTTTATCGTTTATCTGCGGGAAGTGCGGCCATCCTAGTGAAAACACACACACATGCCGAGTGTTTACCGGAGCACATAATACAAGTAAACATCGTTACTATTGTAAGCAAACTCACAGGCTATAAAAGCTGTCAAGCCTCAGCCATTTCCTCCCCTGGAAGTCTTAGAACTTCTGGGGTGTTGACATAGTTCATCAGCTGAAGGTTACATACTGATTCCATAGTCAAACATTTGTTGGAATCTTTTGCCACCATCTCAAGGGTCAACTTAATTTGTGAACTGCTATTGCTGTTTAGGAAGCTTGTATTGCTTCTGAGCTTACCATACACACACATATAATATTTTTTTTTCAGCCTGTTGAAAAATACCTGACAGAATGATTCCTCCATCCTCTCTATGCAGCGGGACTGGATGAATCTCTTGCTGTTTCTGTTGGATTTTCACAGAAAACCACTCCAGCTGTCAAAATAACCTATTGGATGCAGCAGCTTTTCGGCTGACAATTTTCTGCCTGGCTCCTTCGATTTTTTTAGTTGAGGGATGTCGGGAGGGAGGCTGCCAGCAAGGCAACTTGCTGAGTGAATTCTGCTTAAAGCTGTCAACTTCCTGATAAACCACAGTGGCTAAGTGTTAGCACTTCATCCTGGCAGCACTAGGGTCGTTGGTTCAAATCCCAGCCAGAGCACTATCTGCACAGAGTTTGCATGTTCTCCCAGTGCCTGCGTGAGTTTCCTCCGGGTACTCTGGTTTCCTCCGACACTCCAAAGACATGCTGGTAGGTTAATTTGCTACTGCCTAAATTGGCCCTAGTATGTGTATGTATGAATGTGAGTTAATAGTAATGAAAATTAACCACTTGCCTACCGGGCACTTATACCCCTTTCTTTACCAGGCCAATTTTCAGCTTTCAGCGCTGTCACACTTTGATTGACAATTGCGCGGTCATGCAAGATTGTACCCATATGAAATTTTTATCATTTTTTTCTCACAAATAGAGCTTTCTTTTGGTGGTACTTAATCGCCGCTGGGTGCTTTACTTTTTGCACTATAAAAAAGTGTGCAAAAAAAAAAAAAAGTTTCTTTGTTTCTATTATAAAAGTTTTCAAACAGGTAATTTTTCTCCTTCACTGATGTGCGTTGATGAGGCAGCACTGATGGGCACTGATAAGCAGCACTGAAGGGCACTGATAAGCAGCACTAATGAGGTGTCACGGATAGGCGGCACTGATGATGGGTACTGATAGACAGCACTGACTGGCATCACTACTGGGCACTGACTGGCGGCACTGCTAGGCATTGACTGGCGCAACTGCTGGGCACTGACTGGCACAACCGCTAGGCACTGACTGGTGGCACTGACTGGCAGCACTGCTGGGCTGCATTGATGGGCACAGGTGGGTGGCACTGGTGGGCACAGGTGGGTGGCACTGCTGGGCACAGGTGGGTGGCACTGCTGGGCACAGGTGGGTGGCACTGCTGGGTGGCACTGGTGGGCACAGGTGGGTGCACTGCTGGGCACAGGTGGGCGGAGCTAGTGGGCGGCACTGCTGGGTACAAGTTGGCGGAACTGGTTGGTGGTGCTGCTGGGCACCGATCATCAGTGCCCTGTTGATCGGTGCCGTTCCCTGCTCTGACAACTGCTGGTTCTCGGCAGTACTTTCCTCACAATCAGACAGCATGAGGAAAGTGCAGCCGATAACCGGCAATTGCATTTCCCGGTGATCAGCGTGTCATTGGACACGGCTGATCACGTGGTAAAAGGCCGCTGTGATTGGCCTTTTACCACATCACGTGATCAACTGTGTCCGTAGGACAGAGCGATCACGGAGACCTCCGGGGGCGTGCAGGAGAGCGCGTTCTGGGAGGACGTCATATAATGCCCTCCCAGAACTAGCCGGCTGCAGTGTAGCCGTCATTCGGCTATCTGCGGTTGGCAAGTAGTTAAGAGGTTACAATAATTTTTCCATGACCGAAAGAAAATTCGGAAGTGATGTAATGTATTTGTATTGCATATTCGGACGAAAACTGTTCTGATTAAAAGAAAATCATACGGACTGGTATCGTACAAGAAACATTTTCGTACTTGTCCCTTCAAATAATTTTGGACGAAAGTTGTGTACGAACAATCAAATTATCGTACGATCACTTCGAAATCGGTATTTTTCGTATGATTTTCTGATTGAGTTTATTATGCTTTAGGGAGTGCTTGACAATGGCTGTGAATTTCCAGAGCCATGATATCACCCATATGCTCCCACTCACTGACAATGGAGAGCTGGAGCTGCAGGACTGACTGGAGTGAATAAAAAATAGGTAAGTGAGCCCATTTTTTACACAGATTAGGCCTGATCGGTAGGAACACAGAGCGGAGAACATTTTTAGGAATGGTTAACATTAGCCTTATCTTCCACTTTAATAAATTGTAGAGCCACCCTTCAAAGCTTTGCATTTGTGTCATGGTCTTTTCTAAACAAAAAAAAGTCCACACAAATTACTTTTACATTATGAATTTAAATTCAGATTAAGCCGATCCATCTGTTATGTGTTGATCTGTGAGACTGCATCCTCTTCCCAATGAATCTACTGTGCAACTTCCCTCTCACACTCCAGTATGTGTTGGTGGGGCTCACAGAGAGGAGATGCTTAAACTAGTGAACATGTTTGCCCACAGTTAATCTAACTCGCATTACGAGTGATTAGGAAAGTATTTTTGCCAGCCGCCATCTAGACTCTGCCAGGCAAGACATATTCAGGAACACACAGGAGTGGGGGTGGACGTTGATTAGCTAGAGATTCAGAATGTTATCCTTTAAAGATAGAGAATTCTTATAAAGAATCCTTTGGCATTAGTCAGCCTTAAACCCGGCCAGCGATGGACATGGATTCAGGGAAGCAGAAACTTGGATTAAACCCCCGGCTGAAATGCTTTAGTGTTCTGTAAATAATGTTAATGTTGTAGTTCCTGTAGAAACAAAAAATTAATTTAAAATGAATCAGATTTTCTGCCTGAGGTTATTACAGAGATACAAACACCGTACCATTATAAAATTTGCATAATGGGGTGGAGGGCCATTTATAAATGTTTTCATACAACTTTCACCCAGGATTCTCACATTTTTCTCCCTGGATTCTATTGGAAAAACTATCTTTTATTTCGGCTTACGACATGTCAGCTGAAATCAGGCTTGCAGTGGCAGCTCTGTAAGTTGATGGATAGGAAGGAGAAGTACTTTAGTGGGAGTCTGTCCTGGGTGGGCGACACCAGTATTTTATATCATTGCACAGAGCAGGTAAGTATAAACCCCTTTTTATTTTATTAAAACTTTAACTCCAAGTTTAGTGATTAGAGTTGAATTATATTTGTACATGCTTATATTGGTCCAGCTTGGCTCAATGTAATCCAGGGGGTGATGGGGATGGTGTAAATAACTGTAGTAGTCGTCGTACATACAGTGAGAGCCGTGATCTTCCAGGTCCTGTGCGAACTGCTTCCCTTCTGCACACTGAACGTGGGGGGTGTTGTTTTGTCCCCTGCTCCAGTAATAGAATGCCTCGTATTTTTTTCAATGAATACAAAGCATTCTCTGATTGGATGAGGTGGAGGGGCAGGAGCCTTGACTTCACGATATCTCATCCATACACAGAACACCTTGTATTCATTGAATAAAATACAAGGTGTTCTATATATGGTGGATCAATATACATATCTTCCAGCACACTATGGATCTTAAAATGATGCCAAAAAGGCGTGCCTGCCAAAGGGAGCCCCAAAATGTTCCACTCTTCCGCTATGATGTGATCACTTTGAATAAAAATTTTGGACATTAATTGAAGATCCATGGTGTGCTGGCAAAAATGTGTATTGATCTGTGAAATTTCTAGTCTTCAGTTGGATGTAGCTGCAGCAGCTGTTATCCTTAAACCTATCTACTGTACCAGGAACATGTGTGATGGGAATATTGATAATATGGTGGAGGTGCTGAGTGAGAGACCCCCTGTGGTTAGTGTGCAGAGGGGAAACTGCTTACACATAGCTAGGAAGATCATGGTTCTCACTGTATGTGGCAGAGACTGCTACAGTAATTTGCAGCATCCCCAGTGGTCCTCTGGATATATGATATAGGTATTTACATTGAGCCAAAGTGGACCAATATAAGCATGCAAAAATAATTATTCCTGCAGTTTTGCTTTAATCACTAGACTAGACTGGAAAACTATAAGTTTTCCTAACACCAAAAGAAAAATGGTGACAGGAGGGGGCACAGCCTGTGATTGACAACCTTAGCTCTGTTTGTGTGTGTGTAGGTGGGTGTGCTCCCCTTCCTTTCCCCTCCCCTCCAGTCAGCTCTCATCTCTGCTCACTGTGTGTAACTTCAATTCCCCACCCTGTTTTTAAGAGCTGAGATATTCTGTGTAAATTCTTCAATTTGAATGGATATAGGGGACAGACAGCTGTAGATAAACAGGTAAAACGTATGCAAGAGAACAGTGTCAGTGCTTTTTTTTTTATATCATTGATCACTGTATTGGTGTCACTGGGGATGTCATTGACACCAAGTCAGTTCCCCCCAGTGTCAAAATGCCCACCTCAGTCCCGCTATAAGTCACTGATCGCTGCCATTACTAGAAAAAAAAAATCCTGTGTATATACTGCCATTTGTAAATGCTATAACTTTCATGTAAACCAGTTAATTTACACTTATTGGGATTTTTTTTTTTTAGCAAAGACATGTAGCAGAATACATTTTTCCCTAAATTTATGATGAGATTTAATTTTTCAAATTTTTTTACTGGACAGATCGAAGTATAGTTTTTTTTTTTAATTGTTTTAAATTGTCTGTCTTTTTTTTTTTTTTTTTTTTAATAGCGCAAAAAATTAAAAATGCACAAGTGATAAAATACCACCGAAAGAAGGCTCTATTTGTGGGGGGAAAAAAGGACGTAAGTTGTCAGTTAAAGTGACAGAGCACTGTATCACAAATAATGGCCTGGTCAGGCATGGGGGGTAAATCTGCTGGAGGGCAAGTGGTTAATGAAATAGTTTCTTACTATGTTTTTCTGCCTCCTTGTAACATCCTCTGTGATCTCCTGGACTCCTCCTTTTCCCCCCTCTCACTTCTGTTTGTTGGGAAGGAGCAGTACATATTAGTTGTGGTCATATACACTGCTCTATTCATGATACAAAACCCATAGAGTATCTTAAGAGTGAGCAAGGTGGCTACATTTTTACATACATTTGGGACCATGAAGGACAAAAACGTAGCCACCCTGTAAAAAAGAAAAGTCAGATCATAGCAGCACAAAAAAGGAGTTTGGAAATTTGAAGGATGCTGAGAGCAATAAAATGTAATTTTTTGGGTTGACAATACATACTTGAATAGTTTTTTTAGTCTCCCTTTAAGATTTAGTGTAGCAGAACAATGGTGGGAGATGGAGGCGTGTTGTTAACTATGCTAGCTCCGCTTTCTGACCACTTATAAAAACAGGACGATGTGCTACATGCACTTTGTCCCTGGAGAACCAAAAAAGTTTTTGGGTGAGATTTCTTTTAAACCGTGCAGCTTAGTTGCTTCCCCGTCTCCCAGTGTTTGGACAGTGATGAAGTCATCCCTCAGCTTTTACAACCTGTCAGTTGTTTCCTGTCAGCACATGTGCATGCAACGACATTTCATTGGTTCCAAATGCTGTCCCTACCAGGCAGAATGTGGCTTTATAGGAAATTACTATGGTTTGATACCAACTCAAGTTCACTCACTGACAGTTGCCATATAAAAATATTATTTTTTTTTAATGAATAAAAAAGTGCTTTAAGTGGTGTTAAATATAATGTAGAAGAATAAATGGACTATGTTGTTGTACAGTCTTGTTAATGGTGTGCTGTGACCTCTGACCAGTCTTTACACCATGTCATAAAACACAAGGAGGCCAGAAGTGTCTCCACAACGCATCTGAGCAACAAGGGAAGGCACATTTGTGTTTTTATTTATTTCAGTTATTTATATAGCGCCGTCAATTTACTCAGCACTTTACATATATATTGTACATTCACATCAGTCCCTAACCCTCAAGGGGCGTACAATCTAAGGTCCCTAACTTACATCCATACACATACTAGGGCCAATTTAGACAGGAGCCAATTAACCTACCAGCATGTCTTTGGAGTGTGGGAGGAAACTGGAGTACCCAGAGGAAACCCACGCAGGCACAGGGAGATCATGCAAACTCCAGGCAGGTGGTGCCGTGGTTGGGATTCGAACCAACGACCCTAGTACTGCCAGGTGGAAGTGCTAACCATTTAGCCACTGTGCTGCTCCAAACTGCAAGTTGTGGATTTAATTGGATTAATGTGCTGCAGTGTCATTGAAAATAAAAAGCTGTTTTAGCACACCTTAACCCACAAGTGTTATCGCAGCACATGAATGTGAACAATATTTTAGAGCAAGGGTCTCCAAATTTTCTAAACAAAGAGCCAGTTTACTGCCCTTCAAATTTTAGGGGGGCCGAACTGTGGCCAGTGGGAGAAGAAAATGTACTGGTGTCAATGGGAGTAAACCATGCCCCATCATTGTTATTAGGGGGAGTAATAGTGCCCCATCGTTGATGTCAATGGGAGGAATAGAGCCCCATCATTGGTATCCGTGGGA